TGAACCTGAAGCCCTAAACCCCTAAACCCTGATAATATACAGCCCTAAAACCCTAGAATTGAATGCCAAGCGCCGCGGAGATATACCGAAGCCGAACCACCAAAAGCCTCCTTAATTAGGGAATATCCCTTTAAAGGTTTCCTTAAAGGCTTCTATACCCTTGTTATAGAATCTATAACAAGGGTTTCTATAGGGTTCTTAATTAGATGTTGGAGTCTCTGAGGAAGCGGAACCCCCAAAAAGCCAGGAAGATTTTGTGTGACTCCTATCACATCGTATTTTGAGGTTTCGGGTTTGGGAGTCGGGATTGTTCAGTTCGGATCTAGACGATGGGGGGTTAGAATTTAAGATCTGGGGTTGATGATATACATCCTGCATTACTTATAATAAGGAACATGCCATATAATTCCCATAGTTTAGGTTGCCTAAAGGGAATGCAGGATTCATATCATCAACAGTAGGGCTGAAGTCCTTGTGCTAAGAATCCGTCTATGTAGCACCCATCTTGGGATCCGGTACCCTCGAACGGAACAGTTCTTGGGAAACCCTGAAGTTGAGACCCGAACGACCCCAGAAGACGACCAGAAACCTACGTACCTAAACCGACCTAAACTTTAAACCCCTAAACCCGAAACCCCCTAAATCCCAAGCCCGAAACGCTAAAACCACCCAAACCCTTAAACCCCAAACTCTCAGAAGGGCACCCTAAACCCCAAGCCCTCACCCCCAAAAACCTAAAACCTTGAAGCCAAAAAACCCGCAAGCCTGAAGCACTAAACCCTAGGCCACAAGCCCTACTCGGAGGATCTTCAAAATTAGTGACTAGGGCTATTTAAGCGCCTCACTTCGGATTCTCTAAGTAAGTAAAAACTTGCTTATAACCCGACCTTCCACAACCCTTTTGAACCCTTATTTACAGAAGCCCCCCCCCCCAAACCCTAAACCCCCAAACCCTAAACCCCCAAACAGTAAACCCTGAACCCCCAAACCCTAAACCCCTGAACCCTAAACCCCTAAACCCTAAACCCCTAACCCCTAAACCCCTAAACCCCTAACCCCTAAACCCCATCCCCCAAAGCGAGCTCTACCCTGAACCCAAACCCTCCCTCGGCCCTAAGCCCGAAACCTAAGCCCGTGAACCTTAAAATGGGGTTTAAGGTTTTGGGGTTTAGGGTTTAGGGTTTAGGGGTTAGGGTTTAGGGCTTTAGGGTTTTAGGGTTTTCGGTTTTAGGGTTTAGGGTTTAGGGGTGCAGGTTCAACGCTTGAGCTTAAGCGCTTAGGGAGTTTAGTGCTTTAAGCTGTAGGGGCTCCGGGAACATAGAAGTTAGGGGTGTTGCGGCTGAGGGAGTTCAGGAGTATAGAGGTTTAGGAGTGTTGGAGGTTAGGGAGGGATCCCTACGAAGTTTCAGCGATATACATCCAGCACGAGCCCCCAAGGCATTCTGCGCACTGCTTCCCGTCGTCGGATGGCCCAGGCAAGACCATCGCAGCGTTGATGCATACGGCTGCTGAAGTACCGAGAGAACCCAATACCCCTTAATGAAGGAATATACAGGGGTCTTAATATTATGATTCAAGGTATATTCCTTAATTAAGGGATTTTGGGTTCTCTGGGTACACTGAAAGCCAGCTTTGACCTGAAACTTGGCGACCTCGGGTGCCCTATGCCTGGCTTCCCCCATGAGTCCACCGGAAAGCTTTCTCGGTGACGAGTAGGTCGATCCTCCATAGGTGCGCTGAAGGACCGGGCGCTACTCAGTCACTCCAATCGATGCGCCGTGATGCGCCGTGCACTTAGCTCCAGAGCCTTGGTGTGGTCTCTGGGACGGGTGTGCAGTGCTCTCTCTCTCTCTCTCTCTGTCTCCTTTTCTCTTTTTTTTTGGTGTCTCTTTTCCTTGCTTTTTTTTGCGGTTTGATCCTTAAGCCTTCGGCCCGGAGGTGATACCGCTTTTTAATCGTTTGATCCCCTATCTGCGAAGCCGAGAAACCCAAACCCACAACCTGAAGCCCCAAAATCCTAAGACGCCAGACCCCAAAAGAACACAAACGTTGGCCCCAAATCCTAAACCGTACACCTAAACCCGACAACTAAACCCCGAAGCTCTAACAGCCCAACGGAAGAAAGTTCAGGGCTTAGGCCCAACAGCCCTGAAAGCCATCCAATACCCCAAAAACCCCTAAAAGCCCTAAACCCTAAACCCCCAGCCCCAAAACCCCTTAGAAGCGCAAACAAAAAAGCTCACAAAAGGCCTCGGCGCGGTGACAGAAGCCCTCGACGGTCTGTTGGTAGTCCAAGGTTTCCTTGCGGAGGTCCGTACCATTGGGTTCTTTGAAAGGGTTTAGGGTTTAGGGTTATTTAGGGTTTAGGGGTTTAGTTTACTGCGCTTTTATCAGGTGTCATGTCTACAAAGGGTATATGATATATGACGTTTTACCAGAGCTTTATGGTGTGCTACGATAAGTGTTATCATGGCTTCTTAACCCGAAGGCTCAAAAGAGCCCAAAAGCCCTATCTAGTACGAAAAGCCTTCGACTATGAGTCCTCAGAGCCTGGGGGTAAACCGAACTTTATGGTGGCCCTAAACCCTAAACCCTAAAAGCCCAAAACCCTAAAAACCCTAAGCACCCTGAACCGCTAAAACCCTAAACCCTAAACCCCAAAAACCCTAAACCCTAAAAACCCTAAGCCCGTCGTCAGGCTTCTCACCGATGACCCCGCGCTGGTTCGGATGAGGATCTAGAGCTACAAACAAGCTCGTAAGCTCTAGGGATATTGGATTTAGGGTTTGGGGTTTAGGGTTTAGGGTTTAGGGGTTTAGGGGTTTAGGGGTTTAGGGTTTAGGGTTTAGGGTTTAAGGTTTAGGGATTAGGGTTTCGGTTTCAGCTTCCTTGACGGTTCGACAAGGCCTTAGATGGGTTCATTATGGGGTTTAGGCTTTGTGTTCAGATGTCGGCGGCTTCGGCATTGCAAGTACACCAGCACAAGCAAGGCTCCAAAAAAAATGCACCGATGACAGACGGCTGCACCTCGAAGCCCCTGCGAAAGCCCCGCGCTCCAACCCCTAATGAGCCAGTACTAAACCCTCACAAAAACCCTAAACCCTAAACTCTATAACCCTAAACCCTAAACCCTGAACCCTAGAAGAAAGCCGAAACACCTCGCCCCCCCCCAAATCCTTCAAAGAAGCCGACGAAATCCTGAAGCCCCAGACGGAGCTGCTTCAAACCGTAATCCTACAACACCGAAGGTCCCTAAACCCTGGGTTTAGGGTTTAGGGTTTAGGGTAAGCCTTAGAACCCTTTCAGGTTATAGGGTTTGAGGTTTAGGGCTTTGGGATTAGTGCTTTGGGTTCAGGGTTTGAGGTTCAAGGTAAAGCCCTAAGCCCTTGACTTTTAAACCCTTAAACCCTTCAACAAATCCCGAAGTGTCTAGAATCTGCAGCGTACGGGCCTGAATTCGACTAGGGCTTGGGGGTATAGGGTTTAGGGTTTAGGGTTTAGGGGTTTAGGGTTTAGGGTTTAGGACACTAAGTCACTCAGGAGCCGTCGGGAATCATACTGGAAAAGGCTTCTACATTATGTATCCATTCCCTCGAGCCGAACCTGGAGGGGTCGGGGGACATAGCAAGTAGTTCTTTTATAGAGATATACGCATCCTCTCCCCAATTAGGATTTCTTTTAGGATACTTATGACTCTACTTAATTTTTCATAGAGTTATAAGTCTCCTATCCCCAACTAGGATTTCTTTTAGGATGCTTATAACTCTACTTATATACGGCCTACGTACTAAGCCCCCTGAATCCCCCAAGAAGCTGGGCCCTGGGGCTGTTGTCACTGTGTCAGGATTCGTGGAGAACAGGCTCTTGGAGCGCCTCACAAGTCTCTCTGCAGGGCTTTGGGTTTAGGTTTTAGGGTTTAGGGTTTAGGGTTTAGGGCATTTGGTTTTAGGGTTTAGAGTTTAGCCAGTGACTCCAAAAGCGTTTCAAACTAAGGAATACACCTCAAGTTATAGGAGGAGTCCTTTTGTGAGTTTAGAGTGTGCTCCTTCGTCAAGGAATAGACCTTCGGATTCAAGTGTGATTCCAGGTATCCTGAATTAAGAGGTTCTGGATTCTCTGGCTTTGGCAGGCTCAAGGGGTTTAGGGTTCCATTCAGCGGTCGATACAGACGGTTTAGGGCTTAGGGGTTTAAGGCTTCGGGTTTGGAATATAGGGGTTTAGGGATACAGGGGTTGAGGCTGTATGGGTTTAGGGTGTTCGGGTTTAGGCATTTAAGGGCTTTAGGTGCAAGATTCTCGGCTTTAAGTTTAAGGGATCATCATTTCTACCCATTTGCCATGATCGCAATCATTCGCTTTATGACTGTGCTGTTGTGTTCAACGCTATTATAAGCAAGAGTCGTGGTCATAGTAGTAGTCGTCGTCGTCGTGGTCGTAGTCGTAGCCGTAGCCGTAGTCGTCGTCGCAGTTGTGCTAGTAGTAGCGACAGCAGGTTTCAGGATTACGGCTTAGGTCCGAGTTTGGTGATTCTGAGGCTTCTCAGGCTTGGGGTTTTGCACGTCTTGAGCACGGTCTAGAGCGTCCGTGATTTAGGGGTGTTGCCCTTCAAGGAGCCTTTCAAGGAACTCATAAAGGAGAATCCTTGAAGAAAGGAACCCGTAAGGTTTGCAGGCTTCGGAGGTGCACGGCTTCATCAACCGGCGTTATTCTTGGCGTTTAGGGCGACGGGTGGGCTTAGGGTCATAAGTAAGTTTTAGGGTTTAGGGTTTAAGGTTTAGAATTTAGTGTTTAGGGCAAATAATGACTGAGACATAAGTAAGGTGACTACAGTTATATCCACTTGTAGCCCAAACTAAGGTACGTATAACCCTACTTACGAAGTCCCATGATCCTCTAAGTAGAAGGTTCAGGGGGCCAGCCCAAACCTCAAGCCCATCACCCAGAGGCCCATACCCCGTGCTAAAGCAAGAGGCAACAGGTTAAAGGTTTCTTAGGGTTTCCTTAGAGTTTCAGGGGACTTAGTGCGTAGATGCACCCCCACACGTGTTCGTTGTACCGCAAATACTCCTCTCGTAGCTCTGCCGCTCTGCTCTCGGCAACTGCGAAGAACTCCTGCAAGCTGCCGTGCTTGTGCAGGCACTGGACAAACAATTGGGCGTGACCATGCGGAGCTCCCGCGGACTTTTGGAACTCGAGCGCGACATATGCGGCATCGCATCGACCGAAGACGCGGCCCAGTGTGCTTGCGTTGCTGCCGTCCACATCTTGGCAAGGAGTGGCTTGGCAGTCGCAGCTGGGGCAATTTAGGCAAGCGTGCAAGCCGAAGAGATGTCGCATCACCAGCAGCATCATGGCACGGAAGCCGTCCACAGTGGCCAGTGGGTCTCGCGCCAGAATGCGGCACCGCTCTTCCCTAGGGTTATAATGTTATAATGTTGATACTGCTGATAATCTAAATGCTGCATTGCCTTAAGGACCCTAAACTATGGGAATTATGGTAACTATATTCCTTGTTATGGGTAGTGCAGGATTTATATCATCAACCGTATAACTGTAGTTTGCTTGGAACCCTACTAAGTCCCTTGATCCTCTAAGTAGGGTTTAGGATCTAAGACGTAGTTGCAGGGTGGGGCCTGAGTATATCGGCGAATCCTAAATGCGGCTGTGGTTCGTATAACTCTATAAACTAGCCAATTACTACATCCCCCCAACCCTCCCAAGTATGGCTTACAATAGGGCTTTAGCGTTTTCGGCTTGAAGGCTTTAAGGTTTATGGCTTCGGGTTTCGGCTTTTGGGATTCTAGTGGTGCAGGCCTGCGGTTTAATACGGTTGATGATATAAATCCTGCACTGCCCATAATAAGGAATATACCATAGTTCCCATAGTTTAGAGTCCTTAAGGTAATGCAGGATTTATATCATCAACAGTAGGAACCCTAAACCCCTAAACCCCTAAACCCTAAACCCTAAACCCTAAACCCAATGGCATATCATCAGCAGTATGAACCCAAAGAACCCAATACCAGTTAATTAGGGAATATACCTTTAACTATAGGGGCCCTAGTATTATGATTTAAGGTATATTCCTTACTTAATTAAGGGATATTTTGTTCTTTAGGAACCCTGGCTTGAGGGAGTGGTGAGGATGCGGTGGAGGTTGAGGGAACGTCGAGGGGGGTGGGGATCTCCAGGCTTACGGCTCTCTCCGGGTTTCGGTTTAGGGTTTAGGGTTTAGGGTTTGGGGGTTTGGGGGTTTGGGGGTTTAGGGGTTTAGGGGTTTAGGGGTTGAGGGTTTAGGGTTTACCACTCCCATGGGAGGCCCCCCGGTTCAGAGGCCGGGGGGGGCCAGATCATGACAAGGGCGCGGTCAGGCTCCAGGCGCCGCCCACAGCGCGTGACCAGATTGTCGGAGCCGCTTTGCCGCGGGACATGGACGATCCTGGCCCAATGCAGCTAGAAGACGAGGATGAAGAGCTCGAAGAAGGCTTCCGCTAGACGGCAGCTGCAGCCTTGCCCCCCGCCGGCGCCTTGGCCTTCGCCAGATGATTGTTTGAAGCCACGCTGATCGGAAGACACCGCGACAGTTAAGTACTAAGTGCCTGAAAAAATGAACCTTGACTCACATTTCAGATCGGCCACCGCCGCCTTGGCCTGCGCAGCTTCTTGCTGCAGACTGCTCCAGCTCCCATCCGGGCGATGTACCATTCCTCTCGGTCGTAGGTTCCTGGCGCATGGTCGCCATCCGGAACCACAACGCCCATCATTGGGTCGTCGTCTGAGTCGCCCCTCTGAAGTGAGCGTGCCGCCCAGTGTGGCTGCCACCGGCGTGGCGCGGAGGGCAGCCCCCACATGGGGTCGTGGGCGTTGGCCCTGTCCAAGGTGTCCTCGCCAAGCCAGTCCACGTGGCGCCGAGCCTGACGCCACATGGCGATCAGGGCTCTTTTAGGGGTCTAGGATTAGAGCTTAAGGCTCTAACGCTATCCCTAAACCCTACACCCTGCAAGCCCTAGCATAGCACTTTTGCGTAGAAAGCCCACCCTAAACACCAAACCCTAAACCCTAAACCTTACACCCTACACCCTAAACCCTAAACCCTACACCCTAAACCCTAAACCCTAACCCTAAACCCAAAGCCCTAAACCCTCAACCCTAAGACGCGCCTCCGATGCTCTCGCATCCGCTTGGGCCTCATTGGAGAGGACAGCTTGGGGCTTCAGAAAGGATTTCTGCCAGGGTTTAGGGTTTTAGGGATT